ATAAAAACAGGCTTTCACAGCTGATAACTTATCAGTGGTGCGCACTGTTAAACTTTTCTGTTAGTAACATTCGATATTAATGTTATCCTAATACATTCCAAATCCAATTTCTTACGACTTTTCGGTTTTGTCCAAAATAGGGGCCAAATTCCGCAAAGTGCGCTCGGTATTCCTATGTTTTGGTATCGAATTTTGTAGCAATATATATGTGAGTTGGATATCTTCTATATGAATCATAGAACGCCTAACGTTACTCACAAAATAGTGGAAGAGCGTTCTTAAACTAATGTAAAATTGTTTAATTTCGTATTTAATTTATGCTAAATGTGTAATACCTTAAAGGTAATCCAGCACCAGTCGAAAGGGTTAATAAAACTTTGTCTGCGCAGTGGAGCACTATGTTGGCGCTCGCGAAATGCCTCAAAATGGTATAGTAAAATTGGTCAACAGAGCAATGGATATCTGATAGTCGAGGGACTCGACTATAGCATTCGTTTTTGTTTCATTTGTTAAATAACTTGATTGTCAAATATGTTATAACTTTATGTTTGGTAACTGTGTATGTATACAGAAGGCGGAAATAATTGAAAAGCCTGTAGAGGAACCTAAGGGCTTGAAAATCGGCAAAGGTAAACTCCCTGATGAAGATGACAGTCGAGACGGCGCTATTCTTAAACCAGTCATTATTGAGCCCGAGGTAATTGAAATACATTTGTGGCACATACAACTAAATTTCACTGCAAAGAAGCAAGTCTATGTAACGTAAAGCACAATATCTAAAATAACTTTTGCATTCAAATTTGTTTTTTTATTTGGTTTGTACATTGTTTTTGACGTTGTTCTATTATCTTTCCCATTGCACCCCAAACCTTATTCCACGGCACTTTTTTAAAGGATAAATCTGAGATCGGAAATACAAAACTTCCTGAGGTAAGTAGATTACAAAAAGCAGTATACACCAAAACACAGACCGAGTGCATACATTTTTGGGGTGACCCGATTGTAGAAAAAAAAAAATATTTTTTCATTCTACGTAGAATAGATCCCTTACTCGTACTAATTCTAAAAAAAAAACCTTACAAAAATTGAACCTAGCAGGCCGATAAACCATCTGTACTAGATATTATAAAGCAGCGACGTCGATCCTCTATCAGAAATCTGATGACCAAGGAACCAATTCAAAATGAATCATTCCTTGGGGTAGTTTTAAAGCCCGTGATAAAGGATGCTAAAGAGCAAGCTGCGCCCCAGCAAGCTATACAATTAACAAAGGTAACAGCTTTTAAAAACATTTGTGCAAAAAGCGGTTCTTCTATAAATATCTCTATTTTATTAACTTAACAATTTACAAGTTTTCAAAATCATTTGTAATTTCAAACTTCGGGTACTTCTACACCCAATTTATTACTGATAAATCTAAGTCTTTTCCGCTGGTTCGCTCTCTTCATGCCTGTCTCTTTCCCTGTCACACTCTCTCTCTCTTTCTCTGTTTTTTGTCTGTACTCCTATTCTCTGCCCTTGACTATCTGTTTTCTTATTTGGTACAAACTCCCTAACGCCCTTCCTAATATCCATAAAACCGAAGGCAAATGTGACCGAACAGCTCTCTCCTACAAAGGCAATTAAGGCGCAATTGTCGGACCTAAAAAAACCTGAGGCTCTAGCAACCCTTGAGGATGACTATGAGCGGCCCGTTTTAGAAAAATATGAACCTGTTAACATCGATAAAACCAATTCTGAGAAACCCACACCAGCTATTATCACACCGGACACTAAACAACCCGAAGTAAATTTGCCTATTGAAGAACCTAAGGTAAGCATGGACATTTTTAGTTCAATTTAATACTGCCTAGTGAAAACTTGTTTCGTAAATTTTTGTATATATGCACCTTTAAACATTCTTATGTATAAATGTTTTCGAAACACAAATATAATATGAAACAAACACCAAAAGACAGTTTAATTAGATGTATGTATATGTCGCCACACATTTAATACGTTATTTATATGCTCCTATATATATTTATATGAATATATTGTGTATAAAAAATGTATACATAAATAAATGCTTATATTTAATGTGTTGAAATATCTTTTGTCAAAAAATATGCAACTGTTCCTCATAAGCCTTTTGATGTCTGTCTGTTATTGTCGCACTGTCTAAACGGCTCCAAAATTGTTTAGTTTTTTCCAATACTTGTTTTTATTTACAAAAAAAATTGATTAATATTAGTATACGAAATGACTGCCACGCCCTTTTCATCTTTTGGCATTTAATTAAATTAACATAAAGTAAACTTAAATCAGTTTTAAGGATTTGGTCATTAAAATGTCTGCTTTCAATTTTACAATAACGGTGGGTATTTCATAATTTCATCTATCCATCTAAGTACACAAATAATTTAAAAACTACATGTTCAGGAATAACCAAGTAAATTATACTGTACTGTACTATAGTTTTAATAAACGCACTGATTACAATACGATTTTTAAATATATTTACAAAAATTTTAAATGCGAAATTTGAATTCTTACAAGAAATAGAATGAGGATCTGCTATTCCAAGATTGATGAACAAAAATCGGATGAAAACTGACTTAAATTAAATGCGCTAAATACATCCATCAGTACACTAATAATAAAAGTAACGACTATAGCAGAATGTTTTTATACTACTTTCTTTAGGAGGAGAAGCCAAAGGTTTCCAGGATGCAACCGCCTGCTCCAGGTGAGCCACCGAAGATAGAAGTGATACGGGAGAAGCGACCATCACTGGCACCGGAGCCTCCAAGTCGCCGGGGATCTCTTATCCCGCCAGCCGATACTGGTCGTAGACCATCTCTGATCATCAATGATGAGGTGAGCAGTACACATAAGCTAGTAAGGCTCTTTTTATTAAATCTCCCAGTGCGTTCTGAGCATTTGCGAATAATAGACTTCACTCAAAAAAAAATTAGCCCTAAAACCTTTACTCTTTAATTTCATGATTCAATTTCAATTTTGCAACTAGAAAGTTTTTAAAAATAAGAACATGTTTATTTAAACCTTTCGGGTTACCTTTTTGATTTTAGAGTAAAGGAAACAAAGTACTTTCGAATTCAAAAAATACTTTATAATAAGGCTATTAAAGCAACTACAAAAAGTTTTCTACAAAATAAGAAACTTTTTGCTATAAAGCCTCTCTATATTAATCTTAATACAATTTTTAATGAAACCTATTTTTTATTTTTTTTCTGCGAATTATACAATTTTAAGTTATTATGGTTAATTTAAAACCCAAAATGTAGGGTTCATTTTTTTTGAGTGCTAATTTATTATTTCAAAGAAATATGTGGTAAAACTGTGGTAACAGTAAACTGACGAAAAGTTATCAAGTATTGAACACTTCGTACGTGAATGTTGGCTTAATCCGAAATGGGACCACATTTACACGTGTATATACATATATCAGAACATCTTAATCTTTATCTTTCTGTTTTTGTATTGCTTACATAGAACTGTCTATAAGCTTTCCATCTAAAAGAAACGTCAATAAAATGTAGACTTTTGAAATAACTTTATTAGTTTAGTGACTTTTTCAAGCCTCGCGAACACAGTTTCTTGAATTTGTTTCTTTTATTTGTTTTCTTAATTACAAGGGACAACAAATATGTGTGATTAAAATATTGCTTTGTCAATTACTGTGTAATATTTGATTAAGTGTATGCAATTATGAAAAATAGTAATTTACTCCTATGTAGCTAATTTATATATGTATTTACTGTGTTCCCTTTTATGTACCTACCATATATGCAAAATGCCCTTCAAACTAAACAACAACCAACCCGCCAACCAACAATCTATCAATACAACTTCATTTAATAACAACCCAACAAAAATGTTCTTAAAATCTCAACAACAAAACATTAAATACTCCAACGCACACCCTTTGCATTCAACAACAACACTCGTACACCCACTCCGCAAATCCTTCATCAATCAACAACCCAAAACAGAAGAAACTCCGTCCCGGCGAAGTAATGGACACGCGGGTAAGAAACCTCAATATATTCGCCAGCTCGTAATATAAAATTGGCTTCGCCAGAAATTAAAAATGTTGTTTAGCTATATTTCTAACAAACATTTTAAGAAGTGAAAATTTTTTGCTGATATACTTAATATCAAGCGAGAGAGTTGATTTTCTGTCAGCACTCTTTCCAATATCGCGAAAAACAGTTAAAGAAATCGTGTTCTCACATCGTAGGCGGATCTAGAAGGACCCTCGAGATTTTAACACATGAACCACAATTTAATTTTAGGCACATCAAGCTTGCTCTCGAGATACGTATAAAAAATAACAAAGAAAATAAAACAAAAATAACACGTTCGTGGTTCAAAAATAGGGCACATGAGCCCAGATATACCCAGCATATTTTTATTTTTATAGTACAGTAAAATGTTGACCAACGGAAGCTATAAATAAGCCAAAGCTACACGCCGATAAACATTTTTTGGACGTACAAAATACTTTCTTGCGGCATCTCACTGTGCCTGCCGATGAGTACATATTCCATTTTTTTCAACCATGCCCTTCGTGTGCCTGATATTCATATAAGCTAATACCAATGTGTGTATATAAATATATATACGCGTGTTTTATATGTTTTTGAATATTATATACTGGCTGATTCCATTGAACGGTGCAGCCTAGAGAATTTATAGTTTTGATTCATATCGGTCATTTTGGCTGCTATGGTTTATTGTTCAAATATATTATTGCCACTGAGCAGACAACATCTAGTTCAATATCTACTAAACAAATAATTGGAATTATATGCACGTTCAGCTCGGTAGAATGTGACGATAAGTATTTATAATAAATACTAGATATTCTTGGTATGTGAACTATAAAAAATAATCAAAATTATTTGAAACAGGGGTACACCATCTCTCTCCCGAAAACCTTTTAAAAACAAAACCCAATGGTTACATACATTGATAAAACAACAGTACCTACTTACAAGTCGTTTTAATTCCATAATTTTTGATAGAGTGTATAATTCTTTGCTCAGTATTATAATACGATTCAATAATATTACAGTTGTTGAGGCCAGGCGAGGTCGGTGAAGGACAGGTGAGAGTTAGCTGCACAGCGTTGTTGCATAAACAGTTTTGTTAGTAGAACGTATTTTTAACATTTGGTGATTTGCATTCCATTTCAAGACAAAAATGCACATACCTTAAAAAGAAATACAAAAAATACATCAGAAACCGGTCCATTGACTCGATACTCATTCAAAAATACATTATTCATAATAATACCGGAGCCTCACACAATTCCTGTAGAAGTAAAATGGGCTATAATTTGTTTAACTAAACTTTTAAAGAGATTAATTAAAACGTAGTACAGTTCGTATTTATTATGCGTCATAACTCTAACCTAATTGCATCCACTATTTTTTATTGTATAAGCTGATAAACCCAGTCAATTACATTGGTTTGTTACTTTATTTCGTCCTTTATATTAAATCTTTGTTTTATAAATATGAACTTTGCCTATTGGTTGCAGTATTAAAGCAGCATGTACACATTCAGTTCGGTGTTAGAACGGAATCTTACACTCTAAAAACTTTTTTTAATTTGGTTACCATTTCTACGACCTGATTTCTCAGTTTAGTTTTCGATTTCCTTTGCATGACACCATTAATTTTGTATGAAAACTTCTCAATTTTCCGTAGTTGCGAAAACCGTTTAAGGAAATCAGGTCTTTTTAGAAATTTAAAATTTATGTTAGAGTATAAAACTTATATCACCATGGACACTACGCTTTTATTTATAAATCAAAACCAAAGTAAAGTATTTTTCCACTTTTTATTTTTCTTAAATACGTCAGCAAAAGCAACCGCGACCCGGAGAAATGGGGGACACGAAACAGGTCTCGATACTGTGGTCGATTTTATCGATCATTATTATTCTATGTGTTCGCTTGCTTTTTATTGATTATGGAAATGAATGGAAGTTTTATTATAATGACGTAGTAGGACGTACATATGTATGTAATATTCAGTGCAATAACTGTAAATATCCATATTTTTTAATTCAGTCACATTAAAAAATGTTGTATAAAATATTTAACCCAAAACTTCCAAACCAATTTTCGTATCATACCCTTAAACACAATTGGGATGTTTGGCTACGCTGCAATCGATTCAAGTTCGCAGAACTGTAAGCAAAATAGATTGCAAGGCTTTCAATATCCTAGTTTTTGTATAAAAATCTTTCCTTTTTTAAAAATAGGAATTTTGTGGTGTTTTAAAATTAGATTTAAAAATTACAAATAAACGATAATTATTTTCTTTCTCCAAGACACATTTGCTAATGTTCAAACGGGTGGACGTGGCCACTTATTTATTTTTGAAAATCCTATTATAAATATATTTAAAGTGTACCCTAATATAAAAAACGACAAATAGTTGTTTTAAATTCTACAAATATTATAAAATGTCGCGATTGTTTCTGAGGATTTGAGAGTAGAGTTTGGTGCTCTACTTTTGATGACCAACGTTTACACCCACATATTGTATAGGTTCTTTTAAAATATACTTTTAAACTCAAATACCACTGTGCCCCTATGCTCGATATCGGTAACTCTTTTTTTCAGTAAAGCGTTCACTGAAAAACCGACATTTCCGATAATTTCCTATCTAATGTACCCTTTTACAGTAGTGGGCAAAAATGTAATCGGTCCTTTGGCTATAGAACTTGGGCAAAACATAGACTTTTGTCAAGAAACGGCTGCTGCATTCAGCTGTTTTACTGCTTACCAAAAGGGAATTTCCCTAAGAAACTTCTGTAACGAGAAGGGGTATATTTTTGTTCTTAAGGGAAATACTATCAATTTTAAGGAGTTCATTTCCGAGTGAGAGCCTGACAGGTCGGGATATCTTCTGGAATCCTACTATACAATAGTGTTGCTGCCCACTACTGTGTGTTGGAGGTGCGATTCCCACTGTTTTTCCTTATCAATATGAGCTTCAGTTTGATAGTACGAAAAGCATCATTTTACCCAGAGTACCTAAAACCCGTGTTGATATCTAATAGTACTCCATAACGTACCAAGCAAATTGAAGTCAAATCGATGAAAAATTAAATAATTATTTTAATAAAATGTATATCAATAAAATGTATCGCATTTTTCGAAGTCCTATTCCTACAAACATTCCTTGTTGTATTTATGTTTCATTTTAATGAAACCTTTAAAATGAAGCTATGAAAATATATTAATTGAACTACTGCTTAGATTTCTGTGTCGATTTTGCGGGTGTACTGGATCAGGAGTATCTTTATAGAGTGAAAACGCTGTCTGTAACATACCGGTTCTAAAAACTGATGGTGTTGGTTCGCTTACAGTGCCTATATACACGCAAACACAATATTTTTAAGAGGCTATTTACAAAACAGCAATTTAATGAGCAGTTTTTAAGTAATATGCAAACTTCCAAACCTTGAGCGTTGTCAAGAATTTTGCGTTGGGCCAAATTCCGCGAAAACGGGCTTTCCGAAAACCAAAATCGAGAGAACGTTATAGTCAAAGGTCTCAGAACCTCAATACGACTTAAATAAATAATTTAAATGCATGCACTGATTTAAATGCACTTTGCAGGCAAATAAATTTATTTGAAAATTACAGCTATTTTTATAATTAAATTTAAATTTGAAGCCATTCAGCCAATCGCAAGAAGTAAACAAGTCCGCCTTGCCCTTAACTGGTTGATTCTTAATTAAGCGGCAATAGAAATGAGTTTTTGTAATTTATTTAAACGTCTGTCTTTTATAAAATGATGAAAGCAATGAAGATGTTTGCCCGTCTGGCATCTCTATCAGCTGACAGCTGACAATAAATAGGTGAATGGGTTTGAGTTCAGTCTCCAGTTAGCGGCAATCAAATTAAGTTTTCGTATTATATTTTAACGATCGACATTCTGGGACATTTTTTTTATTTCATGCATTCAGTATAGGAAACTTATTAGAATTTTTGCGATTTTTTAAACGAATATCCTAACCTTATTCACAAATGAATACAAACTCACACACACACAATAAAAGCAAAATACAAAAAAAAAAATTGAAACATATGAATGTTTGTATGATTCATTGCTTACATTGCAAAAGGTAATTTTTTTGGTATGATATGACCAAATGTTGTAATCGCCGCTAGGTAGCGCCATGCAATCTCAAAAAAGTCGCTTTGCTGCTTAGGGCACTCGACTATAGCGTTCTTCCTTGACTTCATTTGGACTAAAATTATATTGGTATTTTTAGAAGTAAGTTTTTTGATTTTTAGTTGCTATTTATATTTATTCACTATTCGCCTTGTTGAGGTAATTTTGGATAGTATCGATTCTATATATGCTATTTTATTGTGATATTTGTCAGGTTAATCAAATAAAAACAACTTACTAAATAAGAATGTTGGAACTAAGTGCCCCGTTCTTTTATGTGTTTCTTAAAGAACTATAAACGTTCAAGACTGTGATGTACAAGTATATTTTTGTTAACATTATTCATTACACATATGTCTAACCTTTTAAAACAAGTAGAATGCGTTTGTAGTTTTAGTTTTATGTTACATTGACAGTTTGGTATAATTATCCTCACTCTGTCAGCCGAATGCGTTTTGATTTTCGTTTATAAAAAATGTTTATTCTTATCTTATGAACATTAACTACGGATAAATGTTTATTTACTATTCAGGCCTTTTCCGATCCTTAAGTTTTTCCAAATATAACGAATCCAATGACAACCAATTTACATTGAGCTTAATTTTATGCTTTCACGAATAAACTAGGATATCGGAACAAGCCTGATTATTTGTCAAGCCTGATAAAGATCACATCTTGAATGTTATCTAGGCATTGTAAATTACATAATTTCTGTTGATCAGTATGCCTTATATTTGTTTATCTGCTTATATATTTCCCTGTTTCAATCGTCATCTGTGTCAATGTATATGTGTTCGGTCAATAGCGGAGGAGACCGTCGATTGATGTTCGCCGCCCAAGCGTGCAAGACCTAGAAGATCTTATAAACAAGCCATCCACACCATTACGCGATGTGGGTGATGGCGGTCCTCCTTCAATCGTCGATGTCCAAGAATCTTATTCTGCTGTTGAAGGTAAGTATACATGGTTACATTTTTTATGTCGACGAAACATATACATCTACCAGGACTCGTAAATATAAATAACTGGAAGCCTCACATTTAACATGCCTAAAATGCAAAATAGTAAAAATAAATTAACGTGGTCCGATGCGTAGCAATAAAAGAAAATATATATGCACAAAACTAAGTAAATTGAAGTAGTTTTGTTAATAAGTGGTATATGAAACTACTTAGCAAGGAAACTTTTTTATCAATTTGAAATACAGTTGTCCGATCTAATCTGTTTCTGAAAATAAAGGCAGATAAAACACGTTTTTTAAAATTACGCATTCGATTTTTATTGTGAGTGGTGTTTTACGGGTCCTGATATCTACACATTCTCTTCAGAGCAAACTGACTAACCAAAGTGTATTTGTTAACGTGAGCATGCTTTGTACTTGTTTTCTAGACTCGACTGCTTACCTTACGGTTGGCATCGAAGGCAGTCCAGCCCCTACATTCAAGTTCTACAAGGGAGTTAGTGAGATTCTTGAGGGCGGTCGGTTTAAGTTCCTCACAGATGGGCAGACAAACACAATTACCTTGTGTATGCGTAAGTGCAAGCCCAATGATGAGAGCAAGTACAAGATTGTTGTTTCAAACATTCATGGTGAGGATTCCGCCGAGATGCAGCTCTATGTATCTGATTCAAGTGGCATGGATTTCCGTGCCATGCTCAAAAAACGTCGTTATCAAAAATGGGACAAAGACGAACAGGACCCCAATTGGGGAGACCTTAAAGAAACGGAAAAACCGTTACCGGCCCTTAAAAAAGTTGAAAGGGTAAGAACCAAATTGTGCGCTTTTAACAGACTCGCTGATTATAGGGTGGAATTCTCTATCATTTATTGGCACTTTGATTCAGTTTAGTAGGGCGTTACTATATTGTTTACTAAGTCATTCTAAGAATTCCACATATTTTGTAAGCTTATTAAACTGAATCTATGTGGCAACGAACGCTTGCCCCAGCTTAAGTTTCATTAATTTATTTCCAATGAATAGAAATTTGGAGTTCGAGTTAGAATTGAGGATCGAATTTAATTATTCAGCTAAGTCAGATGAAATAGATATAAATATTTTAATTTGTCCATTATACTATTATTCGATTACTAAAACTAAAATTTAGGGTCCAGGATCGCGTAGACCATCTTTAGCCGAGCTGATTCCCGATTGGCCGACATTACATCCGTTTCGGCGTGAGGAGGTGCGCTTCGTTTATATATATGTTATATATTTATATATATAATAATATTTATTTCCGAATTAATACCCTGACTGTAAAACTTATATTATTTTTCAGTGGTGAAAACGATTATTGATTTTTGCTGTTTTTTTATAGAATATGCATACGATTTGGATATCGATTTTTCGTAATGCGAATTTTTGCTCTTGATATTGATTTCCAACGCAAAGCTTATTTGCAAAGTGACTTGATACCACTTAGCACTTTCACTAAAGTATAAAGTTTTTTTTTTGAATTTTGTTTATTGTTTCTTAAGCTATATATGTGTCATTCCATGAAGAGTTTTCCACTTAAAAACATCGCATCTGTATAGCTTAATGTTTGGACGAAGTGTCGAGCATAAATCAAAGAAAAGGTTATGCGTACACCGCTTTAAGCAATACAAAAATACAGGGCAAAATTCAAATTTAAATTCGAAACAAATTTAAAAATTGTTTTTTTTTTTTAATTCACTTCGCGGCTTGGGCTTGAAATGTTATTGTGAAAATGTGTGTACCCTTTTCAGTTTGCTCGTTATAAAGGGAATACAAATTTTGACAAATATAAGAACACTACAATCGGTTCATCATGATCTGATCTATGTTCAAGAACAGCTTAGGTATATATGCGTTTACAAAGACACATAAACAAAACCAATTGTAACTAAAAATTCGATATACGATAATGAAACAAATATATCATAAAATAGTTTTTGAAATTTTCGAAAAAATAAGCTTGCAAGCCATACTCCTTCACAAGATTGTTAAAAAAAGAAGAATTATCTTATAAAAAAGAGAGATTGAGGTATTAGTACTAAGTTGAAATTTTCTAGGCGTAACAAAAAAGTAAAAGACATAAAAAGGTTTTTTTTAAGCAATTCATATCCAACAACTTTTGCGGTTTTTCTTGTTGTACTATTGACTCACCTAAATATAAATGGTTATTATTTTTAGGTCGCTAAACATAATGAACTTGATTTAAAAAATTGTTAAGCTAAGCTAACTATATTCCAGAAATCTCAAAAACCGTTTGCCTAACAACTCTTCAATTAATATCATCAGAATGAGAACACATACTCCATTCCGAAAACATACTTCTTTATGACATGGTGTTTGAATTTCAGCACTTAAAATAAAAATTTGCTTCAAACCATTTTTTTTAATAAATTAAAGGTTGTTTTTTTTATACCAATGGAAATAAGTTCCTAATTTTATTTTATAAGTCTCTTTGGTCTGAGCAGTTCCTATTATTTGAATTGATAATTCTGATTTGATTTATTTATGATCTTTGAGTGGAAATTTAATGATAGGGCTATGAGAAAAATAGGATATGAATTCGCGGCTTATTGGAGCCTTTTTTTGTTAAACAACTACCACAGAAAGGCACATGGTTCTGAAATATTCCATCTATTTTCTTTCAGATAGTAATAGTTAAAGTAGTTGAACATCAGGTTTAGAAATTTGTTGCATATACATAATAAGAAAATAACAATAAAAATTATTTTTGGCGACCGTCGACCAAATAAGTTAAAACAGATAGGATTAATGTAAACAGATAGCTAAGTATTTTTCGGCTCGATTAGATGAGATGAAATGTTCTAATCCCAAATATAAACTGTTGATGCAATAATCTAATCAAGCACCGTGTTGGCGTTATCGTTTATAGTTCAGATAAATTAGAGGAGTCGAGAAACCCAATTAGCTACAAGTTTATATTGTCTTTAAATTTTTCGGATACATAGCTATCAGGGAATTTGGCAGGGACACGAGTAACCCATCCCTAAGAGGTATAAATTCTTTTTATGCAGATATTGTAAGTGGAAAGCCTTTTTAAGAAAATTTCAAGTTATATATTTTTTCCAATGAAGGCATTTTTTTCCTACGTATGTTTACCTAAATCTATAATCAGAAATTAATTGCTTTAGGAAATTACACTTTTAATTTATAATAATTGTTTTTTTTTATCCGAGCGTAGTATAATTTAACAAATATTTTGGATTTCATGTGATAAAAATTCAAGACATCTTATGTAAAACCACTTCAATGTTATTATAATTCTTTGGTGTTTTGCAATGAGTATATTTCAAAATAAAAGCTAAAACACCCTTTGTTTTTTGGGCTCGCAGCAATAAATAAATAATATAACAAAAATAATCCAACTTACCAAAATATGCCTCTTATGTATATGATTTTGTTATTCAAATTAAAATACATACATATATATGAGGGAATTATTTTGGTTAGTCAAATATAAATAAGAACAAACAAAGATCACTAAGTAATCGTATATCAAATTTATATAACTTTACCCATTTTTGACAACGCATCAACTTACGATATGTGAGCGCAGAAGGTTGAGTCATTCCTCAGCCCACTTATCGACCAATTCGCCAAAGAGGGAAAGGACAAAAAGGTTGTATTTGAAGCCAGGTTCAGCAAGCCCAATTGCAAGCCAAAGTGGCTGTTTCGCAAGGACGTAAGTATAAATCCTCAGCTTTGCTCAACTTCGAAAACTATTAAGAGCATTCGCAATTTGTTTCTGCTCATGTCTAATACATAAAAATAATTATAGGAGGTGTTTACGGGCAGCAAATTTAAATTCAAACAGGAAAATGATACTTATCAGTTGATTATTACCACTCCAAAAGTCGAGGACACCGGCAAGTATACTATTGAAATCGGGGGTGTTTCCAGCACCGCATTTTTAAATGTCGAAGAAGCCGATCCCACCTACACGTTTACGAAACCCCTTAAAAAGAAACTTGAGGGATTTACTCAGCACGAGACTACTCTGGAGTGCTCTGTCAGCAGCAGTATGGCTAATGTGCATTGGTTCAAAGATAATACAAAATTGGAGTCTGATGATCCTCGCTACCTTATCTCCAAAGACATTAACGGCAACCTTAAGCTTATTATTAAGGACTCTGTACTTGAGGATGCCGGCCTCTACAGATGTCAACTGGATAAGCAACCTGATAAAACTGAATGCAACCTAAAGGTTACGGAGTACCCGTACAAGTTTGTTAAGGTTTTAAAATCTCAACAATGTATAGAAAAAGACACTGTGACGCTTGCGTGTGAAATCGATGATGCTATGGGTGAAGTGCAATGGTTCCGAAACGGTGAGGAAATTAAACCAGACAAACGCATTCAAATAGTAAAAGATGGTCGGAAGCGAAAGTTAATCATTAAGGACTGCAAGGTAACGGATGCAGGCCAATTTAAATGCACAACGAATGCCGACACTACAGAAGCAGAAATAATTATTAACTGTAAGTCCCCATTAAAATGCTTTTATTTTTATAACGTTTTTTCTTAAACTACACATTAAAATCTTAATCTGGAATTCAAAATGAGAATGTTCTAATCAAATCAAGTTAAACCTCATTTGTGGATTATATGGCTTAGCTCGCAGATGTCTTCTATACTTACATATACTTAAATATTTGGAGTAAAACTAAATTTATAAATATTCAAAACTAATTCGGATCCCTCAGTTGTCTGGAATTGTGGCTACCATTGCAGAAGAATGAAGGTTCAGGTACCCCAAAAAGGCAATTTTTAATAAAGTTACAAAATATCGACTGCAATTTTGAACTTAATCGTTTTTAAAACTTAGGAATACCTTTAAAAAAATATTTTTACATTTGTGAGCTAAGTTTATTTAGCCTACCTATGTTCCCAAGGCTGGAGCCTCAACTTTTTTAGTAGTGAAAATTACTGTAAAGGTTTATGAAAAAACCCAAAAAATAAAATCCCTACATGGACACTTGCAATGTGCTAGATGCTTGCAATAACATTTGTTCCGGGCCTTAAGGTATATACACTTTTAAGGCTAAATCTGAACACCGCTATAAAATCAAAACGCATGCAAGGCTAATGAAACACAATTATGTTTTAACTAGTCCGTCGTTTTCATAATACCATACCAAAGTGATAAATATATATTAAATACACATTAACTTTCTAATTGTATAGATCAAAACCGATTTAACAAGAAACTAAAAGACACTGATGCCGTTGAAAGAGAAAAATTGGTTCTTGACGTCGAACTTCAGGATCAAACGGCGCCATGCGAGTGGAAGTTTAACGGAGAGCCCATAGTCCCGAGTGAAAGCATTGAGATTAAGAACTTAGGTGGCGGCAAGCATCAACTCGTATTCAACAGCTTGGATTTGTCAAATGAGGGAGAAATAACTTGCGAGTCTGGACAGCTCAGTTCGAAATGCAAGCTGTCAATCCGCAAGGGAGAAAGTAGGCCGAACATTGACTGTCCTGATCAGTTTGCAGGACCTATCAGTGCCCCTGTGCTTGTGGAAGTACCATTCAAAGGTAAGAATAAAAAGACTCCCCAAGGGTCCAACGCAGTTGGCCATTAGGAATATTGCTTAAGCTTTATCAAGATTGTAAACAATTTCTCGCGCGTTAAAAAAATAATAGAATTCAATTTTGAAAACCTTAAGTCTATCAGAAGTTTGCAACGCATTGAACGATACATCCTGTGAAACTCTGTTGTTCCCTTGCAATTATTATACCCTTATAATTTCAGTCAGAAGTGTACATCGCAGTAAAAGAGACATCGACAGCCGAGTCGATCTAGCCTTGCATGTTAGCTTCCTCTCATGTTTTGATAAAAGCTCATACGCGAATTGTTGTTGTTTCCGTGCTGTAAATTTCTTCACAAAAATCTCAAAAATTGAGGATAGGCGTAAAAAACTGAAACCACAAACTACAAGCCACAATTATAATGCTTGCCCCGGGTTGCACTTTACTTTTGCGTTTTGCGTTTTCAGACAAACTTTTCGATTTCGTTTTTACGTGCTCTGGTTATCGGAAAGTTGTTGTAATCGGAATGTTTCATTTTCTCACCGTTTCTTCCTACTTATAACCCTTCCCATAGAGTCCATCCGTTGGAAACGGTTGGGATTTTTGACAAATGTGAAACTCCGATTCCCAAAGGGCACATCCACCATCTACCATCCGATAACAGCTGATCTGGCTAATCGAACCAAGCCGGTTGCTTCTGCGCCTTCCATTTTCGATTATTCCCTGTCATCATTGTTTACGTTTTCGTAGTGAATATTTCAATTTCCACAGTCAAGAAAAAGAGCTCAGAGTTGCACCGAACAAACATCGCCTTACTATCAAAAAAATTTTCGGAACGGCAAAACCTTATGGACCATCCGTTTAACGGATGGTAGATGGTTGATTGATCTCTGTGGGAAGACGCTATTAGGTAGCTGTTTGTATATGTTACGATACATTTATCGGCCTTTGACATAACAAAATACTTAAGTATAAACAAAATATGTCACTAATGGCTTCTGTTACCGGTTACTCGTAGAGTAAAAAGGTATATTGTATTCGGGGGAAAGTATGTAACAGGGGTTTCCGACTCCTTAAAGTATATATATTCTTGATCAGCATCACTAGCCGAGTCGATCCGTCTTACTGACTGTCTGTCTGTCCGTGTGAACGCTGTGATCTCGGAAACTATAAGAGCTAGAGGGTTGACATTTCAGATTTAGATTCCTTATTTCGTACGCAGCGCAAGTTTGTTACCCGAGCATGACGCGCCCTCTCTGACGCCCAGAAACCGCCCAAATCTGTGGCTCCTACAGTTTTAGTGTTAGAAAAAAAGTTTAACTGAAATTAATAATTCTCGTCAATACCTATCGCTTGACCTTAACAAAAATGTAACCACGCCCTAATGCTTCCAAGCCGACCACAAATTTCAAGAAATCGTTAGATTGAACGCATATATTGAGGTAGCGCTTTGCTGCTTGTACATCTCCATCATCCTTTTGGTTACTTTAGCTCAGTAACGTAAATCTGATAGTCGAGGTACTCAACAATAGCGTTCTTCCCTTTTACTTTACCGTACGCAAAGAAAAATTTGTCGTTTCCAAAACGAAAAAATATTGCGTGTGGCACCATTTTTCGCGATTTGAAAAGTTAAACGAAAATAAAGTGAAAACCTGCTGATTATCAATATTTCTTCCCTTTTCTAAATTTAATTATATCTTTTCTTGTTTAGTTTCCGGTACGAAGCAAACGCCTGTGGAGGCCAAATTATTTAAGGACGGCAAGCCATTGCCTGTTAAGGACGTAGAGGTTGCAGTCACCGATGATAAAGTCACATTTAAAATTAAAAAGCCATCAAGAGATTTATCTGGTCCATATCAAATAAAAATTTCCAATGGACAAGGTGAAGATAGCAAAGATGTTCAAATTATTTGTCAGGACGTTCCACAGCCCCCGCAGGAAGTCGATATTACAGATGTATATCAGACGTCCTGTGTAGTAAACTTTAAGCCACCGACGGACGATGGCGGTGCTCCTATTACCAAATATGTGATCGAAAGGCAGGACTTGAGCAAAAAACAAGGCTGGGAGCCTGTCGCTGAGGTTCTACCTAATGAGCCAAGTCGAAAAAAAATTGACGACTTAGTCCCAAAGAAGCAGTACAGATTCCGTATTCGTGCTGTCAACGTGATTGGCCCCTCAGATCCTGCCACATTCAAAAATACTATTCTCGCCAAAGATCCATGGGATGAGCCTGGAAAGCCCAAAGCAGTTGATCTTACCGATTGGGATAAGGATCATGCGGATCTTAAGTGGGAAGCACCCGATAGTGATGGCGGAGACCCCATAACTGCATATATTGTGGAATACAAAGAAAAGTTCTCTAACGACTGGGTAGCCGGCAAGGAAGTTGACGGCGATGCAAGAACTGCAACCGTCGACGGGCTAAAAGAGGGCCAACAGTACGAATTCCGAGTCCGTGCTGTTAATAAGGCAGGACCAGGTGAGCCTAGCGACAAGACTAAATCGATTATTGCAAAATGCCGTTTTGTAAAGCCCTTCCTTGTTGGGGACGGCCTCAAAAACATTACCGTTAAAAAGGGGCAAACCATTCGATTCGATATTAAATATGATGGTGAGCCGGAGCCAACAGCAACTTGGGTAAAGGGAACGGACAACCTAAAGTTTGATAACCAGCGCATTTGTCTAGACCAGTTGGAAAGGAACTCATCAATTACTATTAAAAAATCCGTGCGAAAGGACACGGGCAAATACAAATTAGTACTGTCAAACAGCTCAGGTACAATTGAGTCCGAGGCACAAGTTGTGGTCCTTGACAGACCACTTGCTCCTGGTGGACCGTTCGAACCAGAAGAGATTCGCGCCAACCATATTAAAATGAAATGGAAGCGTCCAGAGGATGACGGCGGTTGTGAAATTACTGGATATGCTTTAGAGCGCATGGACGAAGAGACGGGACGCTGGATACCTGCTGGAGAAGTAGGTCCAGATGAGACTTCATTTGACTTTAAGGGACTGACGCCGAATAAGAAATACAAGTTTCGCGTCAAGGCCATTAACAAAGAAGGCGAATCAGAACCACTTGAAACATCCGACTCAATCGTGGCAAAGAATCCCTACGACCCTCCAAGTGCTCCCAGCCAGCCAGTTATCGATGATTATGATAACAAGAGTGTTCTTTTAAAATGGAAGCGACCGCCTTCAGATGGTGGACGCCCAATAACACATTATGTCGTCGAAATTAAAGATAAATTTTCACCCACCTGGAGTGAGGTAGCCAAGACTGAGGATCCAACTCCCGAGTGTACGGTGGAGGGTCTTAAGGAAAAAATGGTGTATCAATTTCGTGTTAGAGCCGTGAACAAGGCAGGACCCTCCGAGCCTTCGCAGCCCACCGACAACCACCTCTGCAAGCACAAAAATCGTAAGTATTTTCAAAAATACATAATATTTTAGTTCAGCTATAGACTTGCTTTGGCTTAACATTTTAACACATCTTGCAAAACCTTTTTAGATATATTAACTAATGTTACTTTCAGCAATAAATATATTCAGATTTGTTGTTGTATGTATACAAGGTCTTTTCCTGACAAAATTTTCAACTTGCGATAAATGCTCTGCATTCCTGTAATTTGTTTGCATGTTTAGCATTTTTTTTTTAAATTACGAAAAGTTGCAATTTTAATGAAATCGAGGTTTGGATTTTCATATACCTGTTGCAGGTAGTGTGCCATAAAAGTATAAGTTTATACTTTATTTAGAATTTTTTGGACGAGTCAATCTCGCTTTATATGTTAGTTTAAATGTGGAGAAAGAGATTTTGACATGGTGTTCACCGATGAATTAACCGATAGTTTCGGATAAAAATTTTGTGTATTTAAACATGCACTTATAATTAGGCAAATTTTAATGCGTTTGCTTGAAAAACATAGTCATCTAAAATAACGGAACCTCAGAAATAATTATAAAATGCGTACTGACTAAAATGGTGAAATAGTAGTAAGTAACTGCTTTTAAATTAAGTTGAATTTATGCCTCCTTTACTTAGTTCCAAATTTTTCCATATTCTGCTACTTCGCTTACATGTTCTACGAATTTACAACACTGGTACTGTGTTATTTGTATGATATCCGTTCATTAATTCCCAGGTTAAAAATGCGATTGCTTTGCTTTGCTTTGCTCCATTTTTAAAAATGGAACGATAAATCTTGAAGTATCCACAAAAGCCACAGACATCGTCTTAAGCTGATTTACACTTTTTATGCTGGAGCCTTAAGAACGTGAACCTCACCACATGAAGAAAAACTTATATTTAGGGAAAAAAGCTTAAAAAAGTTTAAAGAATATTAAGGTTTTGAAGAACACATTCTTCCGAATTGCGAAAAAAAATCCATTGAAATCGCTTATTTATCGCGTTTTTTAAGTTTGTTTCTCTCAAAAAAGGAAATTTGAATTTATAAACTAATATTTTTGTTGGAAAACTCATACTGCTTAAACATAATGTGTAGGTAGAAATGGAAATGCGTGAAGCCTTAACTCAACCCTGTCTGCTTTAAAAATAGTATAATTTAAATCATTTTTTATCGAAGATTTGTGGAACATGGCCAAGTTGACAGAATTTTATTATATGAGTATAGTCGATTGGTTAATTGGATAAATTCTTTGTGACGACCGGGAATCGAAGTCCCTAGCGGACTTCCTTCTACGATACAAACAAATAAAAAAGACCAAGTAGAGGTGGACAACTTTTATAAAAAACACAAGATTTAAACTACATTATATAATCCTGTGCATGTATCATTTTAATTTAAATCAAATCTATTAGTTTCCGACTATATTTGGAAATTGCTTCAAAAAACTCTCATCAGCTTTACTGCCAGCGCTTTTACTGTGTATGTATTAATATAAAAACGATTCAAATGTCCAGAAAGTTTATGTACATTTTAAAATTAATTCACGTTTATAAAACTTTTAGTCAAACCACAAATCGATCGTTCTACTTTCAAACGAGTAACAATAAAGAGTGGCCGTACTCATAAATGGTCAGTTGACGTAATCGGGGAACCAATACCCGAACTGCACTGGAGTTGGAGGGATGATATTCCATTAACCAACGGGGACCGAATAAAGATAGAAAATGTCAACTATCACACAGACTTCACCATTACAAATGCTTTGCGAAAAGATAGCGGTTTTTACACATTAAAAGCGGAGAACCGCAATGGCATTGATCGCGAAACTGTGGAATTAGTTGTTCTAGGAAAACCCAGCTCGCCAAAAGGTCCCCTTACTGTTAGCGACGTCACTGCAAATGGGTGCAAACTGCAATGGAAGAAACCTGAAGATGATGGTGGAGTACCTATTAAGGAATACGTGGTCGAAAAAATGGATACGGCAACAGGAAAGTGGGTTCGAGTTGGAAGATCTCCTGGAGAGAAGGAACCACCAAGCTTTGATGTAACGGGCTTGAATC